AGGGACTGGGGTTCATGGGTTTTGGGTTTAGGGTGCATAGGGTTTTTGCCGGGTTCTGGCCCCTAAGCTCCGACCCGAAATCATGAATAGAGGAGGGGGGTTGGGTTCCCAAATCAGCCCATTGACCCATAAGCTTGGGTTTAAGGTTATTCGGTTTAGGGTTTCGGGTTCAGGGTTGAGGGTTTCTGCGTTGCTTAGGGTTTAGGGTTTGGGGTTTAGGGTTTAGGGTTTAGGGTTTAGGGTTTAGGGTTTAGGGTTTTTGGGACCATGAAGGCCCGAATGGCAGCGACAGACACAACCCTGAGGTTCCCTCAACCCGCAACCCTGAGCCCTAGATCCTGAACCCCAAGCCCTAAGCCCTAAGCCCTAAACCCTAAACCCTAAACCCTAAACCCTAAACCCTAAACCCTAAACCCTAAACCCCAAACCCCAGCCCGAAACCCTGAACCCGAAGCCCTAAGCCCTAGAAGCAGCCAAGGACCGAACGGGAAGCCTCGGAGGAAACTGACTTCGGAAGCCGGAGTTATGGCACCTTCTGTGGCTGGGTTTAAAGGGTTGAGGGTTTAGGGTTTACCCTCAACCCTAAACCCTAAACCCTAAACCCTAAACCCTAAACCCTAAACCCTAAACCCTAAACCTTAAACCCTAAACCCTAAACCCTAAACCCTAAACCCTAAACCCTAAACCCTAAACCCTGAAGCCCAAAGCCTAGACCCTTTGGCTTGCTCTTTGAGGCGCTGGAGTTGGCCATGTGGTTGGAACATTACATTCTGAACTTTTTGGAGAAGGTTTAGGGTTTAGGGTTTAGGGTTTAGGGTTTAGGGTTTAGGGTTTAGGGTTTAGGGTTTAGGGTTTAGGGTTTCCATCGCGAACCCCGAAACCTCAAAGCCTCAGGGCCCTTAGGGTTTAGGGTTTAGGGTTTAGGGTTTAGGGTTTAGGGTTTAGGGTTTAGGGTTGAGGGTTTCCATCGCGACCTATCAAGGTCATTGTCAGACGCAGAGGATTCGGTACACAATGATATTGCAGAGGGTTTGCTAGAGTAGGCGCCAATGTTTCTTAAGGCAACGCTTGCACTAGTTTGCATGTGTATTCTGGGTGTTGCTAAACCAAGTGGTGAGACACAGATGCAAAACGTCCCACGAAACAGCTGCGGGCAAAATTGTGTTTTAGAACTGGTTGTGTCTTTTTCGGCTGCATGATTTGTGGCCGCAACCTTCTATGTCGTAGAAGAAGGCAAAAACGCTGCAAATAATAGTGTTTTGGGCATGTTCACAAATGGCATGAACACTTGTGACAGTGCGTCGGGTTGCAGAAACATCAAGCATTCTTCTGCAGTATGTTTTATTATACATTACAAAGCAAAGACGCGAAACAGTCCAGTGTTGTGGGCATGTTCACAAAACGCTTGTGACAACGTGTCTTGTTCCAGAATTGTTAAACATCCTTTGCATCATGCTATACAAAGAAGCAAAAGACGTGTAAATAGCAGTGTTTTATGGAAACCCCCCTGCAAATCCCCCACCAACTAACCCCCCCCCCCCCTCACCCACGCCTTGCCCGGCAAACGTGGGGGACGCACCAAGAGTTTAGGGTCCAGGGTGTTTTTGGTGGAGGGCTTCGGGTTTAGGATTTGGCGCTTGGGATATTTCAACCGAGGAGTTAAGACCAAGTGCTTGTAGCAAGACGCCATATGTTGTTGCCTTGTGTCCCTAAACCCCTAAACCCTAAACCCTAAACCCTTGTAGGTAACTTGCCTGAAGTTCTTAAACAGCCAAGGCGACGACCGTTCGCGGGATTTTTGGGAAGGCCCGGGAAGGGGTGTAGGGTTTAGGGTTTAGGGTTTAGGGTCCAGGGCTTAGGACAACCCTAAGGATCAAGGCGAGACCTAAACCCTAAAACCCGAAGCCCCGAACCCTAAACTCGAAGCCCTGCGTGGACCGCGCCTTCTTCATGGGTTCAGGGCTCAAGGTTCAGGGTTTAGGGTTTAGGGTTTAGGGCAGCAAGGACTCGTGGGGCTTCGCGCTGTCGTCGCGGGCCGAAAAGCCTTCCTTTCAACCAGTTCTCATCTCACTTTGAGGAGAAGTCCTTCCCGATTGGATGGGGGTTTCTGGGTGTTGCCCTAAACCCTAAGCCCTAAACCCTAATCCCTTCAGGTCCTCTGTTTGAGGATGGAGGATGTCAGATCTTCACGAGCTTGGGAACCATGCGCCGGCTGTATCCAAACCCTCGCTCCCCAATCCCCTAAACCCTAGTCTTCAAATCGTAAACTCTAGACCCTCAACTCAAAACCCTAGCCCTAAACCCTAAAAAACCCTATACCCTTTACCCTTTAAACCCTAAACCCTAAACCCCAAACCCTAAACCCTAAACCCTGAACCCTGAACCCTAAAGCCTAAACCTTAAACCCTAAACCCCCGAATCCCTAAGCCCTAATCCCTAAACCCTAAACAAACTTGCTCCTTCGACCCTTTTCTCGGCCCTGCAGAGGCGACTGGCTGTGGCCAACCATCGAGACCCTCACCGGTGCCAAAGACTGCGCCAGCGCAAAGCCTTTCTGCGAACGGCGCGACTTACCCCTGACCCTTGCACCACCTTTGGCTCTTCAGGGGTTTAGGGTTTAGGGTTTAGGGCTAGGGTTTAGGGTTTAGGGCTAGGGTTTAGGGTCATGGCTTCGCCCGGCACGGTTCTGCCCTGCAAACATCTGTGGGTCCCGTGCTGCCCAGAATGGGGCTGCTGCCAATCAAACAGGATATCCCAACCCCTCAACCCTAAACCTTAAACCCTAAACCCCAAACCCTAAACCCCAAACCTAAACCCCAAACCCTAAACCCTCAAGCCCACCGAGCCCCACGTTTGTAAGGGGGGGGGGGCGATTAGTTGCTTGTTAGTGCGGCTGCTTTCCGTCTTCGGATTGGCCTCCATAGGGGCTGTGGGTTTGGGGTTTAGGGTTCGGGGTTTAGGGTTTAGGGTTTAGGACGTTTCCCACCATTTTGTCTAAGGGTAGCTTCATGGGCTCTTAACATGGTCCCTGACCTCCCTTACAGGGTTCTGATGTATGGGCCCTTGGAGTTTGCAGGTTAGGATCCAAAGTGCAGCTGTCTTTCACGCGCCAAGCCTGCTTGCACCAACACATAGCGGGTTCTCTTCCCCAAATTACGAGCCTTTTTCTTTTTGAGGGACCTGCAATATGTTCTGATTTTTGAACCTTCCAGCTCCATGAGATTCTATGTTTAGAGCCTCAGGCCAGGAAAAATGGATTTGTTTCTGGCAGGAGGCCAGAAGTGGGGGTTCATGATAATACAGGACCCTTAGTTTAGACCCCCGAACGGTAGGATCCCCTTCTAACAAGGACCCCAATAGGGTACCCCGGAAAATCGTAAACCCCCAAGTTCGTCTTAACACAGTAACATCACGCAAGCCCCCCAGCCATTCAACTCTGACCTCATCAAGGTGCAAGAAATTCGGGATTTTGTTCAAGCAAGTTGTAAAGAAACATTCGAATTGGCAAACATGTTCAAGCATTTTACCAATCAAGCTGTACCAATCGCCATCTATACATTTGATACATAGTAACCTGTCACGAGGTATGTTTTTTTCTCCAAGAATTGTTGTACCACATGTTGAGAACCGATGTATACTGTATGCAGGAATACATTGATGACTCGATGTCGGTTGAATTGCCAGTATAGCATGTTGCCCATCACTTGCCACACCGCAAGCTTGTACGGCAATGAGGGCCAGTGCACTACACTCAAACATCAACATAAGCCTCCCTGAGGGCTTTGTATAAGTAGGCGGATACGAATAATCCTCCCTGAGGGCTTTGTATAAGTAGGCGGATACGAATAACTACCACCCTGAAAGCCCAAGCCCCATCAAGCTGTGGATCTATTGCAAAGGATGGAGGGGTTCCCTCTCAACCCTAAACCTAAACCCTAAACCCTAAACCCTAAACCCTAAACCCTAAACCCTGAACCCTGAACCCTAAACCCTGAATCCTACACCCTAAAGAGCTTTGCGCAGGGCTCCCTCAGCCAAGGATCCCTGAACCCTAAACCCTAAACCCTAAACCCTAAACCCTAAACCCCTCAGCCAAGGATCCGCATGGTGTGCCCCGAGACCTGCGGCTGCGTGGACCCGCTGGCCGGGACTCGTTCTTAGGAGGGAAGCGTTTAGGGTTTGAGGGGGTTTAGGGTTTAGGGTCTAGGGTTTAGGGTTTAGGGTTCAGGGTTTAGGGTTTGGGGTTTGAGGGTTTAGGGCTTGGGGCTTGAGGGTTTACTGCAGGGTTTCAGGGCTTCAGTGCTTGGCTCGGCTTTTTTGCGGCTGTCGGGTTTGAGGACACAAGCGGCTTCCAAACCCAAGCCCCAAATCTTCAGCCCCAAACACCCCTCCCTAAACCCTAAACCCTAAACCCTAAACCCTAAACCCGAAACCCTAAACCCTAAACCCTAAACCCTAAGCCCTATACCCTAAACCCTAAACCTTAAACCCTAAACCCCAAACCCCAAACCCCTAAACCCTAAACCCTAAACCCCAATCCCTTGAGAGAACAGGCCGGGCTCTATGTGGACAACGGCTGCCGCCAGCTGTGCCTCGAAACGCCTGCCTTTCAGACCGCCCTGGCCAGCGCGACGTGCCAGGAGCTGCTTGGGGTTCAGGGTTTAGGGTTTAGGGTTTAGGGTTTGGGGTTTAGGGTTTAGGGTTTAGGGTTTAGGGTAAGAACCTAAACCTTGCCCGAAACCCTGAACCCTAAACTTTAAACCCCCAAAACCCCAAACTTTCAGGGTTTAGGGTCTATTGGGGTTCGGAGTTCTCTGGACTTCGGTGGGTGGTGGTTTGTTTGGGGTTTAGGGGGTTAGGGGTTTAGGGGTTTAGGGTTTAGGGTTTAGGGTTTAGGGCTAGGAGCCGCAGGGTTGAGCTGGGGTTTAGGTCTCGCGCCGCCAACACCTATCAAGGCGCAGGGTCGAAACCCTGGGCCCGAAACCCTAAACCCTACACCTTAAACCTTAAACCCCAAACCCCAAACCCTAAACCCTAAACCTTAAACCCCAAACCCCAAACCCCAAACCCCAAACCCTAAACCCCAAACCCTAAACCCCAAACCCTAAGCCCTAAACCCTAAGCCCTAAACCCAAACCCCAAAGCCTATACCCTAAACCCTGAACCAAACCCTAACCCCTAACCCCTAACCCCTAGCCCCTAACCCCCAACCCCCAACCCCTAACCCCTAACCCCTAAACCCTAAACCCTAAACCCTAAACCCTAAACCCTAAACCCTAAACCCTAAACCCTAAACCCTAAGCCCGCCCAAGCCGTCAACGTATCAGGACTTCTCGAACTCGGAGCAGGAGATTGCCTGGCAGAGGTGGGTTCCGATCCCAAAAGAGGCTTTCAGGGTTTAGAGTAGCCCGAAACCCTAAACCCTAAACCGTCAACCCTAAAACCTAAACCCCTAAACCCTAAACACTAAACCCTAAACCCTGAACCCTGAACCCTATAACCCTATGACCCTCTAACCCTATAATCCTATAGCCCTATAACCCTATTCCCCTATAACCCTATAACCCTATAACCCTAAACCCTAAACCCAAAACCCAGAACCCTAAACCCTAAACCCTAAACCCTAAACCCTAAACCCTAAACCCTAAACCCTAAACCCTAAACCCTAAACCCTAACCCCTAAACCATAAGCCCCTCCAACAACCCTCAAACCCCACGAGCCCGCGAGGTGGTGGAGCGGCTTCTACTCCAACGAGAGGGGCATCTGGAGCGAGGCGAGTGGGTGTAGGGGATTTAGGGTTTGAGGATGTTTGAGGTCTAGGGTAAGGTTTAGGGTTTAGGGTTTAAGGTTTAGGGTTTAGGGTGTAAGGTTTAAGGTTGAGGGCTTCGGGTTTGGCATGCCTCGCCGCGCAGCGGCGGTAAGTACGATGTGGAAATGGCGCCCCAGACACCCAGGTGTGTGTGGGCGGGGGGCGGGGGGCGGGGATGGGCGGCATGCCACGCGAAGGCATCTATTTTCAAGTCCAACAGTTTTTGTCGGTGCTAGGTTCCTTTTCCCGCGAACTCGGCGGTTTTTGGGCTCTGGGGGTACCTTGTCAGGGAAAGGATCACCGACAAATTCCGGCCCAGGCTTTAGCATTCTATTCGATGGGGCTCATGGGCTGGGGTTCCCCCTTGTAATTATATGGCACCACTTGGGGGCAAGGGGGTTTTGAGTTAACGTGCAAGCCGGTCCTGAAAGCCATTTCCGACCAAGTCGCTTCACAGACGTGAACAGTCGCACCCTAAACCCTACACCCTAAACCCTAAACCCTAAACCCTGCACCCTAAACCCTAAACCCTAAACCCCGAAACCCCTCAACCCGAACCCAGGAGCGCTATGAGAGTTGCCTGGGGCCGCCCAAGAAAGGTGTTGGGATGGTGTCGCGGACATTCCTCGTAGGGTTTAGGGTTTAGGGTTTAGGGTTTAGGGTTTAGGGTTTAGGGTTTAGGGTTTAGGGTTTAGGGTTTAGGGTTTGTTATCGGGTTCTTAGGAGAGCGGGGGTTCAAGGGGGACATCGGCCTCAAGGCCTTGTAGGGGTTTCGGGTTTGGGGTTTGGGGTTTAGGGTTTAGGGTTTAGGGTTTAGGCTTTAGGGTTTAGGGTTTAGGGTTTAGGGTTTGAGCTTTGGGGTTTGGGGGTGCAGGGTTTAGGGTTGAGGGTTCTTACCCCATGAAAGAGGCTTTCAGGGTTTAGAGTAGCCCTAAACCCCAAACCCTAAACCCTAAACCCTAAACCCTAAACCCCAAACCCTAAACCCTAAACCCTAAACCCTGAACCCTGAACCCTAAACCCTGAACCCTATCAAACTGTGCAAACAGGGATGGCAGGGTTGCTCATTTTTCTGCTAGAGAAGCCCTGTGTGGAGTTGGGAGCTTCCAAGTCCTGGCTCGAAAAAACCCGAAGCCCTCAGCCCTCAGCCCTAAACCCTAAACTAAACCCTAAACCCTAAACCCTAAACCCTAAACCCTACCCCGCCAGGAAAACGAGATGATGACCTTCGCTCGGGGTGGTGCCGAGGGGAACTGCAGCTTCCTCCTGTCCCAGGCGTGGACCCGAAACCCTAGACCCTAACCCTAAACCCTAAACCCGAAACCCTAAACCCTAAACCCTAAACCCTAAACCCTAAACCCTAAACCCTAAACCCTCCTGGATGCCCCCTCAAGCCTTGAAGCCCTGTAGCCTAACACCCCTTGAACCCTGAACCCGGAACCCTAAACCCCAAACCCTAAACCCTAAACCCTAAACCCTGAACCCTCATCCTAAGCCCCAGCCCCCCTCAGAGAGTCCCCTTGCAGGAGTGGATTGCCCGGACCTTCTGCCAGCACCGCCAGACGCGCCCAGGCACCATGATCTGTCCCTCCGCGCCATGGACCGCAGTTTGTTTGGGGTTTAGGGTTTAGGGTTTAGGTTTTAGGGTTTAGGGTTTAGGAATTAGGGTTTAGGGTTTGGGGTTTAGGGTGCACAAAGGCATCTGATGTCGTGATGAAAACGTGCGCCTTCGCTTTGGAGGTAGGTGCAGGTTCGACTCCCACGAAATATAGTCCCCGCTTCGGTACGAAACATCCTGACCTTTACATCCTCATCTCTCCCAAAACCTTTACAACCCAAAAAGCCTCTGTAACTTGAAATTCTTCAGAGTTAAAGCCGAATTCCTCAGAGCTTTCCGCGAGGCTCCTCGAACATTCCCCAACACCTGAACCCTGAATAACTTCAAAAAACCAAAACCCTAAACCTTAAACTTTTAATCAGTAAACCCTCCTCAACCCTAAGCCCTAAACCCTAAACCCGAAACTCTAAAACCTACGCCCTACACCCGACACCCCAAACCCTAAGCCCGACACTAAACCCGAAACCCTAAACCCTAAACCATAAAACCCTAAACCCTAAACCCCAAACCCTAACCCCCTCCTAGGGCCCTGCCTCCCCTCAACCCCCAAGCCCCCAAAAAGCCTCGACACTTGAGCCGGGGTATGGAGCGAGAGTTTGGAGAGAATGGGAAGTTTGGGCCCTTGGGTGTTATGGGGTATATAAGGGGTATATAACTTATACAAGGGGTCCCCTTTTAAGTGACCATACGAAGGGACCGTGTATCTCCCCCTAAACCCTAAACCCTAAACCCTCAACCCTCAACCCTCAACCCTCAACCCTCAACCCTCAACCCTCAACCCTCAACCCTCAACCCTCAACCCTAACCCCATTAAGGGGTATGTAAGGGGTACCTGTTTAAGGGCCCATACTAAGAGATCATGTATTTACCCTTAGTTTTGCTGGTTGTTGATTCTGTCCAGAAAGCATCGATGTCGGTCTTGAGCCTGGCGGATATTAAGACGTGAGACTTTAGGCTCTTGTGGTACACTAATCCCTAAGCCCGAAGCCCTAAGCCCGAAGCCCTAAACACTAAACCCTAAACCCTAAACCCTAAACCCCAAACCCCAAACCCAAGCCCTAAACCCTAAACCCTAACCCTAAACCCTAAACCCTGAGCTGGACCAGGCGTGTGGCTGCCCCGGCACCTCGGGCGACCTGCTCTGGTGCCCCAGCTCCTGCCTCTCCGACCCCCCGCCTGCGGAGGGAGGCGCGGGTTTTGGCTTTAGGCTTTAGGGTGTAGGGTTTGGGGTTGAGGGTTGAGGGTTGAGGGTTGAGGGTTGAGGGTTGAGGGTTGAGGGTTGAGGGTTGAGGGTTGAGGGTGGAGGGTGGAGGGTGGAGGGTGGAGGGTGGAGGGTGAAGGGTGGGGCTTGGGGCTTCTGGGTGCTTTTGGGGTTGAAGGCGCTGACCCTTGGGGTTTTTGGGGCTTCAGAGGGGCTTGGCTAAACCCTAAACCCTAAACCCTAAACCCTAAACCCTAAACCCTAAACCCTAAACCCTAGACCCTAGACCCTAGACCCTAGACCCTAGACCCTAGACCCTAGACCCTAGACCCTAGACCCTAGACCCTAGACCCTGAACCCTGAACCCTAAACCCAAAACCCTAAACCCCAAACCCTCAACCCCTCCACACGTGAGGAGACGGTTCGCGTTGATGAGTGACCTTCGGGTACGTGCCATGGAATGAGCCCTGAGGGGTTTAGGGTTTGGGATTTAGGGGTTTAGGGTGAGGGTTCAGGGTTTAGGGTTTACGGTTTAGGGTGTAGGGTGTGGCAAAGTTCTTAGCGCACGTCGTGGGCGCTATAGATTGGTTTTCACGGGCCCACTCCCACGCGTGCGTCGCGTGGCGGTACACCCAGCCCAAACCACCCGGCGTATAGTATTTTAGGGTTTCGGCCCCAGAGTCTGGTTGGTGCTCTTATCCGCAGTGGGCCTGTTCCACTGCAGCTGTGCGGCTCTCTTAAAGCGTCCCTCGTTCAGACAGCAACGGTGGATGTTGGCACGGGCGGCTGACCGCCCCGCTTGACCTCCAGGTCGGTAAAGGCCGGGTGAGGGTGAGAGCCGGCTCCCGCTCAGGGCTGGCCCGCAGCCGGAAAATGGGGCTGCCAACCGGGCGCAAGCCCTCCCTAGCTCCATCCGGAAGTTAAATTGGTTTTCCAGGACGGGTGCAGAGACGCCGCGGCAAAATCCTTTTGTGTGACGGGGCGGGGCGTGGGGGCATCCCGGCAGCATCGGGGGTGGCCGCCGGGTTGGGCGGGGGGGGCCGCGACGGGAGGGGGGGGCCGGTGCGGGCGTGAACCTTTGACACTCAAAGGCTCGACCGCCTGGCGCGCATGGTTCAGCAGCCCCAGCATTACCTGGGCTGCACGTGGCGTGTGGTCAGGTCGCTCGCTGAGCGCTCACCACCACGTGAGAACCCGAAGCCGGACTTTAGAGCTTTCCCAAACCTGAACCTCGAAACCCCAAAGAGAGTTACAGTAGGGCACTTTCCCGAAGCCCTAAACCTAGGCGCGAGGGTTTAGGGTGTAGGGCTTGGGCTGAATCACGTTCTCGCTTATGCCAGGGTACACCTGTTTTTGTTTTTTGAGGGGTTTAGGGCTTTCAAGGGGGTTTATAAGGGTTTATAAGCCCTTACAAGGGCTTATGAGGGCTTAGAAGATTGCAAGGGTTTAAAAGGCTTTAGGACCATATGCAAGAGGGGCTTATGTTGCTGTTATTGGTGAGTGTATATAGGGTTCCTTCTATATATTGGTGAGTGTATATAATTGGTGTCCTTGTTGGGGTACCCTAAACCCTAAAGTTTAGGGTTAAACCATACTTCATACGTTTTGGCACATACCCGATTTTTGCATATCCTGCACAAGGGTCAAAGTTCGAGATGAGGGTTTAGGGTTTAATTAGGGTTTAGGGTTTAGGGTTTAGGGTTTAGGGCTTAGTGGTTGAGGGTTTAAGGGAGAGCAGAACTTTGGCCCTTGCCCGTGCGAGCATGTTGTGCCGTTTCGGCACCTTGCCCGCAGGGATGCGGTGGCACTTGGGCAGCGAAGGCTTGACGTGGACCCCCCTATGCTATGCCTTGGGATGTCCCCCTACGAGGTAGGCCCTTGGGACATGTTCTAGTGTACCTTATTGGGTTTAAGGGGATCATATTCACCAATGTTTTTTAAAGGGTTTAAGGCCATCCTAGCTTTAAGATACGCTTAATATGGCCCTTGTATTGCCTTAGAGGATTTTTGAAGAGGCTCCCCAAACGCAAGGGTACAGCCTTAGGGGTCCAAGGTAGAGTCGTCGCTTGATTCTAGGGTTCGTGACTTGGGACGCTCTAACAGTCCTCAAAAAGGATTACAACCAACGCACTCATGCTAATCCAATACGCTCTTGGGTTCTACAGGGTAGATACGCTACGGGCATCGTAGGCCTAAACCCTAAACCCTAAACCCTAAACCCTAAACCCTAAACCCTAAACCCTAAACCCTAAACCCTAAACCTCTCTTACCATATATATTTCCCTATACACCTTCGTGGCTAAGGGTCATTTCTTCGTGGCTAAGGGTCATTTCTTCGTGGCTAAGGGTCATTTCTTCGTGGCTAAGGGTCATTTCTTCGTGGCTAAAAGTCATTTCTTCGTGGCTAAGGGTCATTTCTTCGTGGCTAAGGGTCATTTCTTCGTGGGTCATTTCTTCGTGGCTAAGGGTCATTTCCTTCGTGGCTAAGGCTAATTTCCTTCTGGCTAAGGGTAATTTCTTCGTGGCTAAGGGTAATTTCTGGCTAAGGGCCCCTCCCCCCTCCCCCCCCCCACGCCCTCCCCCCCCCCCCCCCCCCCTCCTCCCCCCCTCCCCCCCCCCCCCTCCCCCCCCCTCCCCCCTCCCCCCCCCCCCCCCCTCCCCCCCCCCTCCCCCCCCCCCTTTCCCCCCCCCTCCCCCCCCCTCCCCCCCCCTCCCCCCCCTTTCCCCCCCCCCCCTCCCCCCCTCCCCCCTCCCTCCCCCCCCCCCCCCCCCGGCGCCCCCCCCTCCCCCCCCTCCCTTTTTTCCCCCCCCCCCTCCCTTTCCCGTTTGGAGGACAGGGCTTGCTGATGAAAAAAACACTTAATGTTTTGGGATTCTCTGGGTGGGTGGGTTTTGTTCGAGAGTCCAAAACAGCGGCTCTACTAGAGATTGCTCGACCCGGAGCTGCTGAACCCTAAACCCTAAACCCTAAACCCTAAACCCTAAACCCTAAACCCTAAACCCTAAACCCTAAACCCCAAACCCTAAACCCTAAACCCTAAACCCTAAACCCTGAATCCTAAACTCTAACCCCCAAACCCCACACCCTAAACCCTAAACCCTAAACCCTAAGCCCCATACGAAGCCCTGAACCTCGAGCAGCAGACGGGATCAGCAAAATCAGCCCAGACCTTAAAACATTACTTGGAGCTTCAGGGTACTTATTAGCCCATTATACCTGTACTTACGGGTTTAGGGTTTCGGGTTTAGGGTTTAGGGTGTCGGGTTTTAGGGGTACTTAGTAACCAAATGATAACTGTAGTGTTAACCACATTAGGGCACTTAAGGGGCTTATATGTGGTTATAAGTCCAGTTTGAATTGGTGAATGTGTACTATGAGCCTTCAAGTAAGAGGTTCTGCATGCTGTTCCCGGGAACTTCTAAGGGTTTAGGGTTTAGGGTTTAGGCTTCAGGGTTTAGGGTTTAGGGTTCTTAAGAAGGAGGGGTTCGAAGCGTATGCAACCCAAGCTCCCAAATACTCTCCACTACTCCCCGAAGGCTCCCGGAGTTTTTGCAAGTCATGGGGGGGGGGGGGGCGGCGTAAGGACCCTATGATACTGAGGTCCTGTTTAACATCAAGGGATGAAGACTCGTACCTCTAAGGTTGTACCCTAAAGGTTCCTCTCAATATACTTCTAATATGGCCCTTAAACTCCCTTAGGGATCCTTACAAAGGGCAAGGGCACAACCTTGGGGGTCCAAGGTAGAACCCCTAGATAACAAGGACTTCCAAACATAAAGGGATCCCCCCCCCCCCCTTAAAGCACCCGTGGTTTCGGGTTGAGGGTTTCGGTTTAGGGTACGTGTTCGGCTGCTAGAGAGGAGGCCACGCAGGCCCTCGATGCGAGACTTGCCCGGAATAGTCGAATAGGTGTGGCGGCGAAGTTCTGAGAACTTCCGTCACCTCAATAAGGGAGTTCCCTTCTCGCCACAGCTTCTTCCCGAAGGGAAGAAGCACTCAGGAGCTGGTTCTTACTAGGCAGTTAGGAACCCTAAACCCTAAACCCTAAACCCTAAACCCTAAACCCTAAACCCTAAACCCTCAACCCTCAACCCTAAACCCTACACCCTAAACCCTAAACCCTAAACCCTAAACCCTCAACCCTAAACCCTAAACCCTAAACCCCGAAAAAAGCCCTGAGGCTCCTCCACTCCTCCGCTAGGAGCCTGCTTGTTTTCCTAGCTGCCTACGATCCCCCCTAGATAAAGGGATTCAAGGAGGGACCCTTACGGGGCTCTTTGGGGGTTATTTAGGGTTTAGGGTTTAGGGTTTAGGGTTTAGTGTTTAGGGTTTAGAGTTTAGGGTTTAGGGTTTAAGGCTACTTGAGTATGTAGGGACTAAAAAGGGGAATTTCAGGGTGATGTAGGGGTTATGTAAAGGAATAAGAGTAAGGGTCCCTTCTAGGGGTCACCCCTTTCCACCTTACCTAGAGGAGCCCTAATTTTCCTAAACCCTAAACCCTAAGCCCTAAGCCCTAAACCCTAAACCCTAACCCCTAACCCTAAACCCTAAACCCTAAACCCTAAACCCTAAACCCTAAACCCTAAACCCTAAACCCTAAACCCTAAACCCTAAACCCTAAACTCTAAACCCTAAACCCTAAACCCTAAACCCTAAACCCTAAACCCTAATTTTCCTAACTCCCTGCTAAGAACCGGTGCGTTCAAGCGCCGAATCGGCGGATCTCCAGTGGCACTTGGTCTGGAGCAATCAAAACTCTTGAACGGGGGGTTTAGGGTTTAGGGTTTAAGGTTTAGGGTTTAGGGTTTAGGGTTTAGGGTTTAAGGTTTGGGGTTTGGGGTCTGGGGTTTAGGGACCGAATGACCATGTGAGCCCCTCTTTCGGCCTGTGCGGAGTGAGAGTGGACGCTGTATTCTCTATGATCGCCTTTCTTGAGTTCTGTGTCCGTCGGGCTTTTGTGCGCATCGGGGGCTCACGTGAAGTCGGACCCGATAGCTGTCAACGGCCCTGAG